CATCTAGAATAATTATAGGATGTGATGTAGTTTGAAGCTTTGAATATTTCTCTTATATTAAGAGTTTTATAAGTCCCTGGTGTAAGAGTCGGTCAGACTTTACCAACTTGTTTCGCCTGCAGTGTAGGTGATATATCCATCACTTTGTTAAAGACCAAGTATAAACTTCAGTATTTCACTCTGTTTTACTTTATAACAATCAGGCACTACCGTTACTGTTTTAACTTATTGTCTATACATTTTATGAGTTAAGTGAATATGGCACACTAATCGATTACTTACTACAAACCATTGATTCAATAGATTATAAATAGTGTTTATTTTCATTCAAATGCGGATAATGTAATGTTTTCAAATATAAATACCTAGTTCATCCATGTGTGGATTTTTGATACAGCTTTAAAGATGTTATTGAATATCATTGAAACCTCTTTAAAAACTGAAAATATTTTCAACATTTTCTGTTTAATTGCAGAATTTCTCATATATATATATATATATATATATATATATATATATATATATATATATATATATATATATGGTATATTAATATCTTTTGCTTGATGCACCAATTATTATTTATTTTGTGTATGTTTTACAGATTCCCAAAACTAAAGTTTTCTAAGTATCATTACCAAGGTTGGACATGATAATCTGGAATAAATTGAGCACTGAGTAGATTGATAATAATACAAATAATATGTTTATACTAAAAATATTCTACTTTGTTTCCATCATACTATTTAAATTTATGTTAGTTCGTTTATTTATTCGTACTCTCTGACGAAGCGGCTTACACACGGGAAATCTAGTTTTCTACTCAGTATTTTATTCCCATTATACAATTTCTTAGTGATCAAATAAATTTTATACACATATTTCGAAGTAAAGCTTCAGTCATATTATTAAAATCCTATCTGATCCATCTCCAACGTTCTTATGAAATCCAAACGAATAAGTGGTCATAATCATAAAATTTCAGTAACCATAACTAACATAATAAAGTCCTCATCAGGATTATAGAGACATATCTTGAAAATGATTTGAAGTATATTCAATAATATTAAAAACCCAATTTAAGTGTATCCTTGTACAATATTTACAAATATGAATTGGTATATTAGATGTTTTCACACTGTATATTTATTTAGTAATATTATTATTACCATTCAGTATCTATTATTCTATTTGTTGTTGTAAAACGTTTATTGTACTTCTGACGTTGTTTAATAAATGTACTGTCATCTTAATTACATAGAGACTGTATCTAACCTATGCTTTTTTTAAAATGAATAGTGATTATGCATGTGTATGTATGTGAACAAGTATTTGTATAATATAATATGTATTTGCCTGTGTATTCTATCATATTAATTTTTTCCTTTTTTTAAAAAATTTATCCTTGGTTTTATACCCATTTAACTAACTGAGGGAATTTATCTTTTAAGAAATAAAGAAAGATTATGTTGAAATTAAATAGTGTTTCAATCACTGAGTTCAAATAATTGTAATATCAAAGTCATCTTATTACATATTTTCTTTTTTAATGATATTTATTGACAAATAAATAAATTTACCTTTGTAGTATGCACCTGTGTGTGTGTGTGTAGGTGTTTAATTGATTGTATCATAGTTCACTGATTTTTGTAAACAATAACATACTAAATAGTTTTAATTGTAATAGAGTAATTCAATTTATTAATTGGTTTGCTCTCATTATTATTGTTAACATATTTTTGTTATGATAACTATGATTTTGTTTCTGATAATCAAACATTGAGTGTAGTTAGTATTTGGTTCCTGTGATGTAAATGACTGACTGTTTTTTACTGTTTCTAGAGTCGGTGAGTGGTGATCCAGTGATTAAAACGTTCAACCTTCAAACACTGAGTCCTCGGTTCGAACTTTGCTTCATTTATTTCAGTTTTAACAATCGGGTAGTGTTATTACTCTCCACACTTAAATCGTAGCTGAAAACCAAGTAAAGGAATCTGTATTCCGCAAGATTTAATAAGAAACTATTGCTTAAAATATTAGAATCTATATTATCTGATTTAGTGATCCAAAGCTTGGTTTACAGCTTAATTCATAAATGTATTTCACCTATTTGTCTATTATAGAAATACATGTTAATTTCAATTACTTTATTGGTGTAATTAAATTTTGATAATCGCTCCTAATATCGTATATAACATATATTCAGTTACTACTGTCATCACACTCTTTTATGCTTTGGCTTTTTTGTTGAGAGTAAATCTAAGAATGATCTGATATATATATATATATATATATATATATATATATATATATATATATTACTGGAATGTGGCTTAGTCATGTGGTACTCAGTGTTTCAAACATATTTTGGTAAATAATATAGATCCGTTACGTTCAACACTCAAAATGCATGAGGTTTCTCAACTGGTTACAAATAAATGGTTAGATATTCCAAGTAATATATCAATGAAGTCTTACAGCATCAATTTCACTGTTTATTGTACTGTTTCAAATAACAGATAGAATGAATGTGTAACAATGTATTCTAATATGGTAATTCTTTAACTACTTTCATTATCGTGCACAGATCAAAATAAGTATACCTTGAAATTTAATCTATAATAATTCAATTTTGTTTGTTGATCTGTATCTGATCTAATTTTTTTTATTGAATGTAAATTGCTTGTTTTCTCTTCTTTTTTCTAATTTCAATATAAGATAATATTTACACGAATTTTATTTAAATAAAAATCTACACTGAATACTTTCAATCAAAATAAAATAGAATGAGATTTCTGTGAACTGCTCTGTTATTTTGTTGTTGTTGTTGTTGTAGCAGTATTTTTTCTTTGTGTCTGAAAGTGTGTTTTCCCCTTTTTTTCACTTTTTATGATAATAATAATTTTTTTACTAATACTGCTATTACAACTATTGTGATAACCTTTAATCATAAATTTGCATTAATTAACGTGCTAATATAAGTCTCATTAAATTGTATTCACAAAAGAGTTTGCATACAAATTGTTATTATTTTCGAATCGATCTGGATCAGTTTTTGTCAACATTCAGTCATTTACATGTAACTTTTTTTTATATGTCATAAAGCATAAGTTATGATATTTTATCGAAATTATTATGTTGCTTATTTTGTTTTAATTTCTTGTTTAAGTGTAAAATGTGTTAACTAAATTCCACTAAGGCTCTTTGATATTAAGCGACAAGATTACTTCTACCCTATTTTCCCTCCCGTTAATTAAAATGAGAAGTCCAAGTTGCATAAAAGTTTTTTTCTTGCTAGAGAAACCGAAAGAATCAAGTTTTTAATGAAATGAAATGGCGTGCTCATATGAAATATGAAGATAAGATAAACATGATACTATGTCACAGATGATTGGAGGAAATTAGTTTGTACGTCTCCCACTATTCAATGAAGACTTAATTGTTAGTCTTGATTCCTGGACTTCGAATCAGCCCTTGAGTGCTCATGACTAATTATAAGAGCTTATTATTTAAATTGACTAATTCGAGTAATTCCATTTATGTCTATTTACTTCACCGTATTTATTTAATTTCATAATGTATATCCTGTAAGCAATAATTCCACTCTTGTTTGAAATATATTTTACACGTGTTAATCCGTCGGCATAGCATTCTTGATAGTATGGGTATAGTGTCTAATAAAAACAAAGGCGGGTTAACTAAAAAATGACACCAGTCCATTAAACTGTTGACTGTTTGTCATCGACATGTTAAAAAGATACAGACTGTCTGGTTTGAGCCTGTTAGATAATCCTAATTTGTAGTTGATATTCTTAAACATTATAACTAAAATCGATGTCACTGAGACAAACTCATTCGTTCTTTTTGAATCGGTTCGAATAGAACACTTGTTTATTTTTTATTTCCCGTTCCCTTAATAACTCTGTTTGATATGCTAATTTCTTTATTTCAATAAATAATATTTTATGACTTTGATTTTCGTCTTGTTAATTTCTTGTCATTATATTGTTACATCATGGTATAGCAACACGCTTATATCAGGTTCTAATGTTCCATAACTAAACGACTAGATTTAACAGTCTATTCTGAAGTCATAGAATTATTCAAATTACCGTGAATTTCATGGAACTCTAACATTATCATTGTAGATGCATTACTAGATATATGTAGTCCAGTGTTTTTAAAAAAAATTGGCGATAATATTTATTTGATAGTTTATTATGGTTATCGAATAACAGTTCTATTTTACCAAATGATATGATTCATAAATCCGACCATGATACCAAAGCTCTGTCAAAATGAAATATGATACTTTTGAACTCATTTAGTCGCCTTGTTTACACTAAATTTTCAAGTTCATTTTAAGCATTTTACTGCATTGTGAATCGGGTGAAGTTAGAACTGTGAACTATTTTATTTATTATAATTGTTATTTGTTTCCCATAAAGCTTTGAAGATCTTAGATCTGATCTCGTATCAGGTCATAGGTGTGCATCACTAGTTGCGAATTCGGAATTTGAGTGTGATAGATGTCTAATTCAGCTTAGTGTTAGGTAGTTGACAGAGAACCCAGGACTTAGGTTCCGTGCTCTTTAGCACTCGTCAGCAAGATATACCTGTAATTTTGAAAGAACTGGTGCTACCTGTATGATTTAATTTTGCATCACTCAGTCACACAGTCAGAGACGTTTGTACTGAGCTATTCGTATCGCTATCGACCTGTAGTTCACGCTATATAGGGTCACTTAGACTAATGGCCACAGCACAACTCAGTCAATAGAGTTCAATTAGCTCTAAAGGACTATATAGGTAGTATTCAGTCATTCGTAAGTCTACCTTGGTTTCTATATATATAGTGCATGCGCATAAATGTTATTTTTAGCATACTTAAGTGTGTTCTTACTGGTTTATTCTTGAATTGACAATCTTTTACATTGTTGTCCTTCATAATCACAACTCTTTTTATGTTTATTTTCTCTCTCATTACTTGTTTCATCTAGTCGATACAATAGATTCTATGGTACAGACAGAAAACAGTTGCTTTTTTAATTCAATACTTACTCCGTCTGTCAGATTATCTGCTTTAAATATGGTGAATAATGCTTTACAAAGAATAGGAGTAAGTTTAAAAGTCTACGATAAGCAATAACAATATTAATTGATTTACAATTTTACCATTTGCATGTATATGTTCGTTTGTGTGCCTGCTTATCTTTCTTTGGCTACGTTTTCTGACATACAAGTGTATATAATTTAAGTTTTGTTATTCTCAAAGTGAAATAGAATAAATATTAGTTGTTGTTGTTTGTCAAATTACATTCTTTTGAACAAATTGATTTTAGTATCCATAAAGCACCGAACAGCTGTTTAATCCTGTTTATGAGATTCCACAGCAGTGTGCATCCATAACCTCACCATCGCGGATCCAAGACTTTCAATGTTGCGCTCTAACGCTTAACTTTTAGACTACTGAGCCGAAATCAAATAGTGTTTATATCTAACTTCAACTATTTCACGATATTGTGCGGTTATCTATTGTCTGTGGTGATTAGTAACATTCTGTAATCTCTGTAAACCTTTATACTGATCATTTTAATAATTTGTTTTAATATTCGTTCCTTTTTTATTCTCTATAGCAATTAGAAATGAAATTATCCATATTGTATAAGACATACGGTCATCCTCCACTTTCTGCACCAGTATATAATGGTAATAGTGGCAGTAATAACGGTAATATACACTCTCCATCATCTGATTTCGAATTGAAAAGATACAATTTAAAGTCACCACAAAGATTATCTAATCCATGTTGGACAAATGGTCCTATTAAATTGTAAGTAATGTTCATTGATTGGTTAGTATGTGCATTTTGAGTTGTTAATTTCTCGTTGGTTTATGCAAACTGAGAGATATTTTACATTATTCATTGTTGTTACGGACGTTTTCACTGTAATGTATTGGAGGTAATCAAATGACTCGGTTAAAGGCGTTCTTTATATATATCATCAATGTCGATTACTTCATATTATAAGATATCTCAATGCTACACTTTAATACAAATATGGTTATAAGCAGCTGATGATAAACCACTAAACATTATTCTTTAATCCGATAATTAGATTTTTATTTCCTTTGTTCTTACGCTCATAGCAAATTACAATGTCCGGTCATTATGGTAAATATCTCTTTGCAATTCAAAGAACCACAAATATTTAGTGTTCCTTTACACTGTTAACTTCATACTTTTGTTTGTACCATATTTTTGTATTTTAATAGTTGAATTCATGAGTCAATTTCGTATTTTATATTATTATCATTATTGATTATTGGCTTTACATCTAGATTCTCGAATGCGATTAAAGTGCAAACTTTTCTTCAGTATTAACCTTAGACATAAAAATAAACCTGTTGCTGACTTGTACATAAATAACATTCAGGCAAAAATAATATTTAATACGATATAATATTGATAATCAAATTGATCGTGTCAGTCAAGTCATTGTAATTAATCTATGACAGGATTTCTTCCCAGAGTTTAATCTTTTTTTACTACTTTCTCTTAGGACTTGATATCTTGGTAAACGTATTCAGTAAGATGTCTGGGAGCTTTTTCAGGAGGATATGTTATTAACCCATTTTACTTCATAATTTATTAAACCTTATTTTAATATATCCCTAAATTAGTTCAGTACATATTCTTAAACTTGTTGCGTAGCAAACATGATAATTACATAAAATAAGAAGGCTCATATGAAATGTATTGGGAATAATATATTTCATGTGTATATATTCATTAGATCAAACGGTAAAGGCGAAAAATCGATGATGTTTGGCTTCTGACTTGTCTGTCAGATAAGGCATGGGCGGTCTGATGACTTTATGTGTAGAGTCATTTAGTACAATGACTAGGTCCATAAAAAACAGGCACATACGTATGGAAAAGGTACATTGATTAACGTTAATAACTAATCCTGTGAATACTTAGCAACTAACTGATAATACTAAAATAAATCTACCCCATAAATTGTCCACTTTTTAATCTGTTTACATAATGATAGATTTACGTAAAGGTGTCGTAAAAGTGGTTATTACATTCGGATCTAAGATGTAATATTTGAGAAACTATGTTTTGAATTTATTATTGACTCCCTCCCTCGCAATAACGAACCATTTTCATACTTCCCCTTTTGTACTTCAAATCTGTCACCCAATAATTCTAAAAATGATATGATCAGTTTTTATTATTTTAAGATGAATATAAAAGCCAATAGTTTGTGCAGTGATTACCGTTTCAACAACAATGGGCTCTAGTAGTCATGCCATCACTATTTTGGTAACAAGTCCGAATGTCATTCAGCCAAAGATATTTTCCACTCAGCTTACTAGATCGTTACATATTTGATCAAAATTGTATGAACATAGGCATGTTGAGCACTAAAACCAATCCCTATTTGTTTAATATTTATGTTCATACTCTCAGGATTTATCGTCATAACTGGAGAAAAAATATACTTGTCATGTTTCCCGATTTGCTTTACATTTAAAGGTGTAATAACTTAATGCAGCTCGAGGTAAACCTTACGTTGTCAAATTATCTAAGTGTATCGTAATCAGTAATTACGGTTATGTTTTCGTTTATTTAGTCACTCAGTTGTAGATATTCTGTAATAATTTCTATTATAAAATTCATTTGAGGTAAAACTTGCCATATTGTAACCTTTCTCCCATCACAACTGACTGCACTACACTTGACGCGTCCGTAACATGATGAAGTGGTATTTTCGTCGTACAATATTTTACATTTTTCATGTAAGCTAGCTTTCAAACAACTGAATCCCATTCAATCATTTTTGTTATCGTTATAATTCGGTCGTACCGGGTGACATTATTCTTATAAACCACTGGTTAAATGCTATATGATTTATTTACATTATAAAATGTCTCCAGATTTTTTCACTTTGTTTGTCCATATTTTGCTTTAATTTACAATGTCTTGATTTTACAAATAGCCTTGTATGTATGTGAAAGACTGGCAAGTGGTTAATAACGCACGTATTACAAACAAAAACCTGGGCATGTATTGTAGTATTGCATGGTGTATTTTCTGCATTAATCTAAGTACATGAATAAACTTATTCAGAGGTATTTCTCTTACCTTAATCGATGAAACTAAATTATGCCTTCACTTTTCATATTCGACGTAAAGACTTAAGTCTTGTTTTTGTGAGAGTGACGTATTATCATCAGTAAATGACAAGAGTACGCTGTCATATTAGATTTCTTCACTGGAATACTCTTATTAAATATTTTATTCATTTCATTATAAGCTTATCTATAGTAGTTTTTTTTAATTTAAGTGCTTAACAGTTATTTCATTCACTTTTATAACCGTCGTCTTGTGATTAAACCAAATCACGAATGTGTTTTCCTTCGAATTCATTTTATTTTACGACGTAAAGTGTTAACTTGTGATGTGACACTATTGTGTTATGTATATAATAATAATCAGTATAGACTATTCAGTTCAAGAGGTTAATACATCTTACCTTAAAAATCAATGCTAAAGACCAAAAAGTCTTCATAGTGATACTCTTTTGGTCTTATGGTATCACAGTTAATTCCAATATTCTTTTAATAATTACTTTTCAACGTTTCTCTTGACCGATACTATATATATATATATATATATATTCCAAGTATTACTAGAATAAAAAAATTATATATGACAGGGATTCAATTTTGATAGTTAAACATTACTTGGAATTCTTGTCCGTTTTTGAATATAACTGACAATATCTTGTTTATTGTTGTCGAACTTTGTATATTTTAATGTTATTATGATTACTGATAATTAAAATTATTATTGAAGAGAATTTATGTCGTAGATCATATTAGACAGTTTATTTTTATTGTTCCTTTTTTTCCCTCCTTTATCTTCAGGGATCCTCTTCCAACTGCTGAAAAATCATCTCGGGAAAATTCTATACATTTTGTTCATTGAAATTAATTTACATTGTAAAGTGCATTGAAAAGAAGTCAATTCATTTTATCTTTCCATACATCTTACCCCCATTATATAACGAAATATTATTTATGTAAAGAATGTATCTCTTATTGTATTTGTGAATAATCTTTATTTTGGATTAAAAAACGGTGCATTTCATCAATTTTCCACTTTTAACCCAGAATCTCTTATTATTATTATTATTGTACAATTTGTGAGGTGTTCTCCTAAGAAAATAATTTTTTTTAACAATGAAATACTCTAGTTATCACACTTATAAGATTCTAGTTATTCTGATAAATCTTATACAAAATAATCTTTCTCTTTCTGCATGAATCAAGGTGCTCATGGTTACCGTTCAGCTTTCATTCTGTTCCAGCTACTCCTCATTGTTCTGTCTTTCTAAAATTACCTTATGTAATGCATTATACTGAAGTCTATGTTACTTACTATCTCTCTATCTATCTGTTCATGTATCTGTCTGTTCTATTCAGTCTTCTTTTCTTTTTCAAAACACTATAAAGAGGCATTTTCTACTTAATACATGTATGTGTGTGTATGTATAATGCCAGTTAAGTCACTTGTTAACAAATAAGAGGATAATTATGATTTTCATATAAATTATTTTCATTCTCATCTGTATTTATCACATCATATAATGATATTCATTAGTTTTATTGCACTAACACGTATATTGTAGCTGATGAAGAGAAGCGGGCGTAATATATTCATTATTTTATTTTTGTCATTGATCTTATCCCTTGTATAGTTTGTCCTTTCTTTTCTCTAAAGTTTACTCTTTTTCTGGTCATATATATCTCATGTCCTCCCCCATTCTTTAAAAAAATTGATCTTTTAGTTTCTATCACCCATTTCGTATTTCCTGTAACGATCGAGTCGGAGTTCATTTTACTGCCAAAACATATTAACATTATCATTATTATCACTCGTTTCTTTATTTAAAATATATTTCTTACGATTTTTTAAAAATTTCTTTTCGTCTACAATTGTACAATCTATCATTGATAAAATGTTAATTTTTTTTTTTAATGTATATTTATGGTGATTTAGTTGTACCTACTGGAAAATCGTCCAACATGACAGTCATTTCGAATAAAAAGGCTCAGTAATTCATAAGTAAAATGTATATTAATAGATATTATGATAGCAATTAAAATGGTATATAATACAATGTTTTTTATCACTGTTTTTATTATTATCATTATTATTGTTATTGGGATACAATAGTAGAGTAGTAGATTTTCTGTTTTGCTTGCTTTTTTCTCTAGTCTGTTATATATACTCTCATATTAACAGTTTAGTAACCACTCTTAATTCAAGTGAAAAGAGGGTTGATCATGTTTCAAGTCATCACAGTTATCTACGCTGTATACGTGGAATCACTTCGTGTATTTTCGCACGATTATGCTTAAGGTGTCACTAATGTCGTTAATTTTCTGTTTTGAAAATAAGAACTTTTAAATTTCAAAATATTCAAACATTACCAATACAAAATTATAAAGGTGTAACTCACTAACTGGATATGTATTTTTACTTGCAATCTTGATTAAGCAAGCTAATTCAGTTTTTAGTAGCTTCTCTTAGAACTATTCACTTTATTATGAATAGATACGTTACACAGTTTACTATATATCTTTACATGATTGTCAAATTACATTTTAATCAGTAGTTATAAATGAAACTTAAAACAATGTAGATATAGTCTTATTATTAGTTCACTGTATACATTTGTTGATTTTGACTTATTTAAGAGGTTAAGAATTTAGAACTAATAGTCATACATTATTCCATCCGAACGATAATTTTACTTATTTTCACCATTGAATATCAAGTAAATTATAATTAAATTTTGTTCTTTTAGAATCATTCAAATCGAAATTTTAAGGCGGGTAGCTTTCATTTATTGTTCAGTTTTTGTAGACATTTTTTCTTTTGTGTATTTACTCCATATTGCACTACAATATTCATGTTCTCTTCATATACTAAACGTTAGTCGTCTATCTAACAAACTTTTTTTTACACGTTTTAAAATGATTTGCAAAATCAAATATTAACATTTTAAATATCACATATGATGCAAATTATTAAATACTTTGTTTTTAATTGGTTTTCACATTGATAATCAATTGAATACATTGAAGTTAATTCATTTTATTTCGTTTTTAAAAGTTGGCTAAAACTATACGTGACGTTTAAATTATTTAGTTAGCTTTACTATAATTAACACATTAAGCCGAACCTTGTGATTGATCCATTTTATAGCATTGTCATATAAACTTTGATCAAATTTATTACAGGACAATTCATAATTTATGAATAAAAATAGAATACCTTAATGAACAGAGAACTTGTAATATTGTCCATTATTCATACGATATATATATATCTGTTGCCGACTGCTTACAAGACGTTTGGTTATTATGTTCTAACTATAGAATATTCATTCTTTGAGTTTGACATTCAAAATAATTAAATCGATTGTGTACAATGAGTAGAGATACAAAGCATTGTGACTTGTTAGTCTATTTTGATAAATTACATTCTCTGACTGCAAATCAATAAACTATATAAACCAATGGTATAGGGCTATATATATGCAGAGAAAATTATAATTAAATTGAATAATAACAGGCATTAGTAAATAACCGATTAGACGGTCATTTTCACAATAAGGTTAACTTCCATTAATTAGTTAACTTCAAACAACGCTTTGTTGTTGACCTAATTTCATGTACGAAATTGATCAACCTCACTTATTTTTTCCTGTGTTCATTTAACTTTTTAAGAAATAGAAATATTCTCTTGTTTGTCTTTTAATAGTCATTTCGACTGTGTTTTTTTTAAATTTATTGTTTGAAATAGTAATTGTTAAGTTACTTTATTTCATCTAAAATGTTGCCAACAAAAATGTAATTAACAAATAATTTGTGAAATAGACGATCCCATTTACGTCCGAAACGACAGTTCGTATCACTTCTTAAAAGAATTTCTTTAAACAATAAGTAAAACGGTAAATACAAGTTATCTCGTAAATAATAATGCAAACTGTTCCTACAAGGTCAGTATTAATGTTTGTTCAGTTTTCTAATTAGTAGCTAAATAATAAGATAATATCAGACTGTTTATTACGGAGTGCCATCACAAGGTGTTGAAGGAAGCTGAGAAATTGAGGTATTTGTCATTGTACTATTTGGCTGTAGCACGTCAGATTGAAGCAAGATAATATATATTATTTAATGCGCTCATTTAAAAGAATAATTGTTTCTTTCTGAACTTATGAAAATTTATGCACGGGAAGATTTTTAAAATTGAATGTTTTTTTATAAAAGGTTTTAAATTGAATTAGTCTCCAAGGTGGTCATTCACATTCTTATTAGAAATTTAAATCGCAATAAATATTCCCCATTCGTCAGTATCGAGGTTTTGGGGATTGTTTAATTTTCCTGAAACCATAATAATAATTAATTAATTGTTGTTTGCTTAAATGAAAAACTAAAAGTCCCCATTATTCTGCTTTTATAAATCTACATCCTGTTGATAATGTAGTAATGTATTGATCACATATTTTTATAGCAATATAGGAAAGCAAGAATACTAACCATATATCTGAATTAAATGCATGAATCTGTATGAATTATATATGGGATAAAATTTTTGCGATGCTTGATGCCTGAATCAGTTCTACTTTGAATTGTAATACCGTAAATCAATCACTGCATATCACAACTGATTTCTACATAAATGATCTGGATCCTAACATTAATATTTCTCATATGTTCTGGATTATACTCGATAATTTACCAGTTTTGTAGTGAACGAGAACACAAGTGTGAACAATCGAATGTATTTGAACATAAAAATACAGAACATCTTAGTAAAATCTAAGAACCATACAATAAATACTTCATTTGCAAAATATCAATCATTTCACTTTTCCTTCATTTCAACAGCAATCGTTCTCTTCTCTTTAATCTTCTTAACCTTCTACCAACAGTTATTTCACTTTTTTTGATGATACATACTACTTATATCTGACTGATAAGCAATCTGATATTTTAGCCTTGAGATGTTACTTTGATTTTTTTAGTTATATATGACATCAATCATCATAATAATTGTAATGTATAGAGAATATAGAAAATTTTAGGAATATTAAACATTCTATTTATCATTCAATTGTTTATGTAAGGAAAACAAATTAATTGAATTCTTTTGCCCTGGTATGGCCGAGAGTGGGATGGGTTCGCCCTCCCACGCGAATACAGCCTCTGCCAGGGAAGTCCTACTCACTGCCTTCTCGCACCACGGGTGTTGTTTACAAAAATGAGAGGACGAAAAGCGAATGTCCGGCGCTATAACCGGATCCCAAATCAATGGTGCACATGGACTCCAGTATCCTGAGGGAACAAATGGCGTATGAACCAGTTTTTGGTCACCGGCTTCCATGGGACTGCATCTCCTCACGATGCTCCACTGCCTTGTGGGTCAGACGTTCAGGTCAAAGGCTCGGGGTGTGGCCTCCTAAGAAAACCACCTGCTTCGGTCTGGGCACCCAGGAATTATCCCAGCCTACGCACTAAAACATGATGAACTATTTACTTATGGAAAATACTCTTTACGCTCCGATTTACACTGAAATGACTCGCACCACTATTATTATTATTATTTACCACGTTATCTATTCACTCTCTTTTATTTCCACTCTGTCCATCCTTATTTTTCGACTTATACAACAGCTCGCCTATGGTGGATATTCGGCTCTATCTAAACGCTCTCGAGTCATTGTCTGGTTGGAAATTGTATGTTACCACCGAATACGAGTACTGAAGCAGTTTTTCTGAAACCACGTGCACCATTCAAACTGGCTGCCTTCAACGTTCGCACACTTATGCAGATCGGACAACAGATAGGGCTGGCTATGTCTTTGGAAAGTCTTAATATTGACATGTGTTGTCTATCCGAGACCCATATTCAAG